TATGACTCAATCCAATCAGAGTGGATCTCAGGACTCCTGCTTGGAATGCTGGGTCAGAAATGTTCTTTTTTGGATACGGTAGCTTCTGGCACTGAGAGCTGTTTTGGCACTAGCTACAGTAAGGAAAACCAGCCTGGAGACAAAACCAACACAGAGGAGGGTGGAGTCAAGAGAATTGCAAAGAATCGCTGGAGCTTTACTTCTTCAGTCAGAGGAGTCTCTTTCTTTCCTATTGTAGTCAGATCTCCTCTGCCGCAGGTGGGACTACTGGTAGCCCTGGCTTCCGGGGACAGAGAGCTTCTCTCATGCTACCTTTACACTGGTCCTGAAGAAGAGCTCTGCTTGGACCATATACATGTCTGTTGGACCAGTCACCCCTGGGGCTATGTGGTTGGCCGGGCCTGGGTGCTGTGTCCAGTCTTGTAGCCAGGAGTAGAGAGTCAGCCAGTTAGATTCACCCTGTCATATGCCAGCTCCTGGGAGACTCTGGGCGAGTGACTTCACTTCTCCAAGATTCCATTTTTTCACCTCCAAGGTGTGGATGACAATTATCCACCTTAAAATGTGGCTGAGAGATACACACACAAGTGTAGTGCTGGGAGTGGCCATGTCCCTGATCTGGAGTTGTTCATAATGGTGCCTCTTACAGACTCTAGTTCTCTACCCCCTTTTGACACTAGACGCCAAATTATTTTAATCAAAACCCATGTATATTATTTACTATGTATATGTGTTCGAAGCACACATCTCTCTTTGCTATTACTATTCCCCATTACAGGCGAGGAACCTGCTGTACAGAGAGGTTAAGTATTGCCCAAGGTCACCCAGTTAATAAGTGGCAGAGCTGGGATTCAAACTCAGGCATCTTGACTTCAGAGTTTGTGCTCCTAACAACTTGGCTATGATGCCTCTTAGAATAACTGCATTGTATATATTTGTGGGGTGGATATATGTTGGATGGATAGACAGTTGAACCTGAGGGAGTCCCCTCCATGGGCTAGAACAGAAAAGAGTGTCCCCGTCCTTGCCCCTACCCTGTGGAGGTTTTGGGCGCTTCATTCGATAACAGCAGTGTGTCCTAGAATGGGCTTTAGGTTTGCATGAACAAGAGTCTGCCTGGGCAGCAGGTATGGCCCAGCCTGCCATGAGGGTATAGTGGGTTTGGTGGTATTGGTTAGACTTCTGAGTCTCTAGAGACCAGAATTGTGCCCTCAGATTTCACAGTTGGCTTTGAGTACGTGTGTATGTACCTCTGCCTCTCCCCAGACTGTTTGGAGCCGGGGCCAGACACTTTCATGACCCTGTGTCTCTTCCCCTCTCCTCCGCACACCCGCTCTCTATTTGCTCTGGTTGCTACATCACCTCCTGCCTGTGGCCTCATCTCTCCAGCACTGACCTTCCCATCACTGCAGCCAAATACACAGATTCCCCAAAGTGCTGCAGTGGCTCTGAGGGCATTATTGATATTGACATGTGCCAGTTTTTCTCCAAACTGTCTCTGGAAAGCGCACTGAATGTGTGGTAGGCTTGATGAGTTCCTAGAGACCTTGAAAACTTTTATATATGTCTTATCCACGGAAAATAGTGCATTTTGAAGCCTATCGGGATGATAAGGGGCTGGAACAAGGCCCCAGTGACCTTGCTTCTCACACACTCCTGAGCCTGTTTGAGGGAGGTAGAAATGTTTCCACTTCCTTAGAAAACCCTTCTCCAAAGATAGCTCCCAAGGTGGACTGGGGCCAATTAGCCTTTTCTCATCATCTAACGAGGTCACCAGACTGTATAGATATCGGCCTTCCTCTTCCTTCTGAAAGACCGAAGCCCTTTGATAGCGGCTTGGGGAGAAAGCTGGTGAGACCACACTCACTGTTTTACCCCTTCCTGGAACATATGCATGTGAGGAAGGGGTCCGGGGGCACAGATCCTTTTTCATTTGGAGGAGGAGGCACAGGTGGTCACTCCTTCCCCTGCCATTCCAACGCTGTGAGACCCACTTGGACTTCTCTGCAGGAAATCTCTGCATTGGGAATCCACTTAGTTCAACTCTGACCTTTCTTCAAGCCAACTGCTCGGCTGGAAATAAAAAGAAGCCAGGCCTGACACACCACCCCTCCAGCCCCTGCAGGATGCCATCAGGTGGATAAACAATGATGATGGAGATCACCAGCTGGAGTTCTTTCCGGGGAGGCATGCGTGGTGCTGCCGAGACCCATTGCTTCCAGTCTGAGATGTAGATATTTTTAGGGATGAATCTGGGCCTTCCTTCTCTCCCTCCCTCTGATGCTAATGCGGCCATCTGCATCTCCCAGACAACCTTCACAAGCACACATTCGCCATCCCAGAAGAGTGGGCTGGGAAGAGATTGTTATTAAATATAGAATACTGAGCCATGGCGCAAGGAGGTTGAGTTTGCCTGGTGTGCTCAGAGTGAAGCAGAGGCGTCGGAGACCTGGAACCCACTTCCATGCTCTGTGACTCTCGTGGTGCCTTCCCTTCCCCATTAATTTTTAAATTTCTTTAATCTGTTCAGTGAAGGGCTTAGATAATATTTAAGTCCACTCTAACATTGGACGGTCTTTTCTTTGAAGATCTTAGTTGTATAAACTCCCAGACACAGAGTCCGGCAGGATAGCGCATGGCTACTGCTTTGTCCAGAGAAGGGACAATTGTGATCTTCTGTCCCCATTCCTGTCCACCCCCCCAGGGAGATGGCCAGCAGGGGTGGCTTGTATGTGGTGGCAAGGGACTCTGATCACTGATTCAAGAGGTCTCAAGGCTTATCCCCCTTCCTGCAATCAGCCTCCATCAGCCCCCAGCTTGCCCTACATCCAAGGAAAATTCACTCTTCAGCCCTCAGATCCAAGATTCTTTTTCACCTGAGCCCCCCAAGTTAAAAAGGTTGGGAAGAGAGGAGGCAGAGGTCCCAGGAACACATTGATAAATTTTAGTTTTTGAGCTAATAGAATGTCTATGCTGAGCAGTAGTGTCTCACTGTGGTGGGCCCACAGTGTTCCTGAAGTAGTGTTAAATTTGTTTAATCTGGAGAACACGTGCTATAGATAAGGTGATGGGAATGATAAAAAATGTAAGTGATAAAGAATACAGCTCCCACAGCACTGTGTACTTTTGATTATTTATCAGCCGAATAAGTTACATGAATGCAAGAACCATATCTAGCTCACAGTAGCATGTGTGAGATGAATGAATGGTTCTGTCGCCATCTCCATCCCTAGCATGGGTGTCTCAGGCCCAGGCCAGAAGCAAGAGGTCTGTGTCCAGTGAGGATTTGGGCTGGGGGCAGAGGTAATGCTGTTTCCTCTATCAGTCACTCTGTAAATAAGGCAGGGCCATGCTGACCTCATCTCCTGTCCCCAACAGTGCCCAGGCCTGACCTCAACAGAACGTTTGGACGGACTGGGGGCAGGTCAGGCCCCAGAGCAGTTCCTTCAGGGATAGGCCTGTCCTGTCCAGCACTCTAGAAGTATGGGCAGGATGGCAGAGGCTGCATTGCATAGTGGTTAGGCATGCAGATTCTGGAATCCAGAATCAATCTAGGCTCTGAAACTTATTAACCATGTGACCTTGATAAGCTACGTTACCTCTTTGAGGCTCAGTTTTCCCATCTGCAAAAGGGAATGATCATAAAAATGCATACCATGCAGACCCACTGTCACCATACCATTCCATTCATTATCTCAGAATTAAATGAGATAATGTGCATAGAGGATACCTCGTCAACTGGCATCACAGACAGAGTTCCATCAGAGTGGAGAGCTGCCCCTCTGAGAATCAGTGCTGACTGAGTCTTGCAAACTGAACAGGGACGGCTTTTGCTGAAAGTTCATGTTCAGGAAGTCGATTGAACTCTGAAGATGCTAAGAGAGCAACCAAGAAGGACAATCTCTGGGAAAACCCAAAAGGCCTCACGTAGGATCACATGGTAAGGAGTATGGAAAAAAAATAAGCCCCAGGTTTGATGGGGCAAACTGCTTTATTTGTACTTGCCTGGCAAGGGAATGTAGTTTCTCCAGAGGGTGGTCTGATGCTGTGGAAATTCCAGCAGCCTGGAGCCACAATACTGTTTTCTCACTGCCCAAGCCTGCCTGTTCTCCTCCCGCTGGGTCAGCTCTGTTGCAAGAACATTTACATTGGGCCAAGCCCATGTTAGGCCCCTGGGCCCCAGAGGTGAGTAAGACACAGCTCCTGCCTGTGGGATCCCTGTTTCATGATCACTGCTACCAGAGCAGTCTGCCCAAGGTGTTTGCAGAATTTGTAGTTCACAAAGCGGATTCACACCCCTCACACTGTTCACACTGTGAATGGTGCTCTCTGGAGCTGTGGGCAACCAGTGAGGGTGGGCAGAGCAGAGATTAAGGTAGCCATTTGACAGCCAAGAAAAGAAGGTGCTTGGGTGATGTGACGAAGGTAACAGGTGGTCTGCACCACTGCCCCTCTTCCCACCAGTTTTATTCTAGGCAAGGCCAGTCCAGGTGAGGGGAAGGGACTAACCTCTAGCAGGGGTTTGCTGAACCCCAGGGTGGTCAAGGAGCAAAGCAAGAAGGGAGGTCCACAGCCGGTAAGGGAAGTGCTATGCTGCTCCCCCAAGTCCAAAAGGGGACGCTGAGGCTTGCTTTCCAGCTGTCTAGGCCAAGGAGCGTGAAGCCCAGCCCTTGCCTCCCTACATTGACATTTGGATACCAGCACCGGGGTTTTCATCTAGCAGCAACACCAAGCCTCGCCCCCATCGGCCCTCTGCTGGTCTCAGACCTGCACTGGTCTGGGTAGGAGCGCAGGGCTGCTCCCTACCCTCGGGCTTGGCTGCAGCCCACGTGCGCCCGCTGCAGCCGCGTTGACAGCTGGCCCCAAAGGGGCGGGGCGGGCGAGGAGCGTGGGTGGCTCCGCGCCGCTCTGCCATTGGCTATGGGCCTCAAGCTGGGGGCGGGGATGCGGCCCCCCGGTTGACCTGTCATTGGCCGCGCCGCCGATGGGGGTGGCTCCCCGTCCCCTTGGCGGCGCGGCGCAGAACCGCAGGCGCTCGCCCGGCTAAGCCTGCGCGGGGCCGCCTAGGTGGCTCACAGCTTCGCAGGCGGCCTCCGGTTGCAGACCGCTGCGCACACGGCCCTAGGCAAAGACAAGGGCTCACCCGAGGCTCGGCGGCCGACGCGGCTCTCGGTAAGACCGGGGGGCGGGTAAGGGGAGCGCGGGGCTCTGAGGAGGGCGGGCGGGGACCGTGGCGGCCGAGCCTGGACTCTGTGCCCTGGCCCGCGCCGGAGAGGGTCAGGTGCGCCGCAGCATCTCCCGCCTCAGACCCACCTCACGGGGCGCCCAGCGAGCAGGTGGCACTGCCCAGGGAGGCCGGGGTACTCCTATCGCTCTCCGAATCCATTAGAACCCAGTACCTCGAACTACCTCTTACTCCGACCCCCAACACCCAAATTCTTCAGTTCTAAGCCTAGAGAATACCCGAACGTCGACATGGAGTGGGCGCGACGCGCCATCAGTACCGCCTGCCGCCGGGGCAGAAGATCATCCCTAAACTTATCTTCCCACGATTTGGGCTCCTCGCCGGTCACGTTATTTCCCGGCTTTTCACTGGGCGCCCCCCTCGCCCGGTCCCCCGCCCGCCTACCAACCCCCGCCCGGTTCCCCTCCCTCCTTAACAACAGGAAGTTAAGTTGGGCCAGATGTCGGTGGCCTGGCCGCCTGCGGGCGGGGACTGGGTCTGGGACGGTGGCGGTGGCCCGAGGGGACGTGGCGCTGTCCTTTCTGAGCCTCGCGCCTCCAGCAGCCTGCGCTCTCCCCAGGCCCGGGAGCACCCCTGTCGGGGCGTCCCAGGCTCCCGCCTTGCCTTTGCCGACTGGCCCTGGGTAGAAGCGCCGCTGACTTGGCTTCCAGGCCGGGGCAGGTGGGGTTAACTTTATCCTAGACCAGCCTCTCGACAGAACTGGGAATGGCCTTTACTGGATGAGGGGGAGGCTGTTGAAACCAGAGTAAACTTGTGTCTCTTTCCATATTGTTTTATTCTAAAGCCTGGGTTCTTAAAGCCCAAAGAGCTTTTATCTGGAGGCGCATTGGGCCCTGCTGGGACCTTAAGCAGTGTGGGGACCTCTTGCTGTTAGTCTTGCCTACTCACTACAGTCCTCAGTGGTTTCTGTGAAGAATGAGGCCACTAACCAGCCCCCTTCTGGGCAGGCCCCATGGGAAAAAAACCAGCAGCCGGTTGGCTCTCAATTTGCTTGCGTGGGTGCTCTGGCACCAGGGTCCCCTGGGCCCCCAGGCCAGCTCTGTTCCATCCCTTTTTCCAGGGGAAGTGGATCCAAGGCGGGGGAGGGGGGCTCAGTTCTCCAGGGTAGTCCCACCTGATGTTCTGGAAGCTCTTATTGCAGTAAGAACGGGCCATCAGACAGAGTGAAGACAGGTTTATTAAGTGCCTACTGAGGGACAGGTCCTGCCCTGTGGCACTTTTTGAGAATTTCACAATAACTCTCAAAAAACTCAGAGTTATGCCCTCCTCATTTTAGAGATGGGGAAACAGACTCAGGTAGGGTAAGTGCCCAAGGTCACATAGAAAGCGGCTGAGCCGGGATTTGAACCAGACTCTGCCAGAGCTCAGTCCAGTGCCCTTCCTGCTGCCCCATGGCTGTGGAGAGTGGTGTGCTGTGTTGCAGGGTCCTGGCCTCTGAAAAGATTCCATCCAAAGATCCTGTGGGTACTTCTTTAGCAATGCACTTGAACTGACCCAGGTTAGCCCAGGTTGTTCAACCTACAGACCCCTTGCCCACCCTGTCCTCCATCAGGGGTGATGGTGGTGTTGGTCTTGCTGTGATGGGGAAGGACTGACTGTTGGTGTTTGGGTGCTATTTGAGGGGGAAGTCTGCCTCTGCCATTGACTTGGCCCTGCGCCTGAGAGTTGGCTTCTGGGATGGTTTAGAAAGACTGTTATATGTGTCATGTTTTTTTGTTTAATATTTATTTTATTTATCTGGCTGTGCCGGGTCTTAGTTGCGGCACACAGGATCTTCGTCGCGGCATGCGGGATCTTTTAGTTGCTGCATGCGGGATCTAGTTCCCTGACCTGGGCCCCCTGCATTGGGAGTGCAGAGTTTTAGCCACTGGACCATCAGGGAAGTCCCAGGAGGGCTGTTATTTGAAATAACCTTCTACCTTAGGACCAATTCTAGTTTTATTTTGTGTTTTGGGGGAAGGGCAGGTGTTGAGGTATACTAATTGTGATTGTAAGGTGATTGAAATCCATAGTTCGAGCTTATGTTTATAAAAAATGAAATCACTGCTTCCTTCCTCCTTCAGGCCCAGGGCTGCCTTTCTGCTCATCCTTCTCTTCTGAAAGAAAATCGTGATTAGCCTACTACCAACCAGTTACACTTTAGTATAAATCAGCTTAAGGACTAAGGCTGGTTGTAGCTTGGTCGTTGGAGGCCTATTCCCGGGAACTGTAAGGAGCAGAGGAGCACTGAGTAATCCCTCTCTGCCTGTGATTGGGATGTGTCTCTATTCTCTCCGCCCATGTCCACACCCCCATCTGGGTGTGCCTCCCAGTCATGCGCCTTCCTTTCACTCTCTACTAAGGGGGGCAGGGCGAGGGGGGGAGGTCCTGCCTTCTTGGGGGAGAGCCTTGACCCTGGTGGGAGGGCTGGGGTATGGGTGCAAGATTTGGGCTGAACATTGCCAATCTTTGAGGCCCTCCCAGGGCTAGAGGGTCTCCGTTGCTTAAAGAGCCAAGAAAGGAAACACTGTACGTTATGCTGGAGTTTTTCATTCTTTGTATCACTTGATCCCCACTTTAGCCCTCTGAAGAAGTAGGTGGGATTATTCCCATTTTACAGATGAGGAAACTGAGGCTCAGGAACTTTCCCCCAATCACACAGCTAGTGAGTGACCAAGCTAGGGCTCTGGCCTCCTTCTGCATGAGTGAGGTCTGTGTGGTGAATTAAACACTAAGGGAAACAGGAAAAAACCGTGTGGCCATCCTCTGTCTGGACTCTAGAGGCTTGGTGTGTGCAGCCGCCTGCTGTGCTTATGATTCCGCATCTTATATTGTAATTATTTGTGAACATGTCTTCCTACCCCACTATGAAATGGTATTTAAAACACTCGTAAACTTGGCAGGTTTATTTTCTGGTTCTCACAAATTCTCCTTGCTCTTTGCTCTATATCCCCTTTGCCTTTTATTTTATTTTTTTAAAGATTTAATTTTATTTTTATTTTTTTGGCTGCATTCGGTATTTGTTGATGCTTGTGGGCTTTCTCTAGTTGTGGCGAGCGGGGGCTACTCTTGCAGTGGCTTCTCTTGTTGCGGAGCACGGGCTCTAGGCGCGCGGGCTTCAGTAATTGTGGCGTGCAGGCTCTAGAGCGCAGGCTCAGTAGTTGTGCTATATGGGCTTCCTTATTCCGTGGCATGTGGGATCTTTCCGGACCAGGGATTGAACCTGTGTCCCCTGCATTGGCAGGCAGGTTCTTATCCACTGCACCACAAGGGAGGTCCCCTTTTGCCTTTTATACCAGTCTTCATTAGGATATCTACCATGATGTGTTGCAGTCCTCTGTTTAAAAATATCATGAACATTTTCAGGGAATTCCCTGGTGGTCCAGTTAGGACTCAGTGCTTTCACTGCGAGGGCCTGGGTTCGATCCCTGATTGGGGAACCAAGATTCTGCAAGCTGCACAGTTAAAAAAAAAAAAGGAACATTTTCAAACACAAAAATAGAGAGCATAGTATAATGAGCCCCAAATACTCATTATCCAGCTTCAACAACCAAGATCATGCCAGGCTGGCTTCATCTCTCTCTTTCTCTCTTTTTCTTCCCTTCTATTTTTTATTCCTGAAATATTTAAAAGGAAATCTCTGATATCATGTCATTTTGCCCCTACATAATCCAGCATATATCTATTTTGAAAAGAATGTTCTTTCATGACCACATGGCTGTTACTGCATGTAGCAGAATTAACAGTAATTCTTTGGTCGCATCTGTGCATATTCGGATTTCCTTCATTGTCTCAGAAGTGACCTTCATCACTGGTCTGTTTAAATCAGGATCCAAGCAAAGTCTGTATGCTGCATTTTGTTGGTAGTCCTTTTAAGCCTACTTTAATCTGGAGCACCACCCCCTCTGCCCCACTCCCACTTTTAACCAGCTGTTACCCTCCGTTTTAAATCTCCCACTGGACGGCGAACGCTTTGATGCTGGAGTCTACTTCTGTGCTCTGTTGGGGATTCCCAGTGCCGCGTCTGGGACAGGGCAGAGGCATGGTGGGCGTCTGCCCAGTGGTGCCGTAGCCACTCGGGAAATGCATTTTGAATGAATTAACCCAGTGGTAGGTTTCTGTGACTGCCCATGTCTGTGTTTAGATAAGAGGTTTTAAAAAATATATGACTTGCTCACGTGTGGACATTTCCTAAGCAAGCGTCAGCCTGTAAACATCCTGAAATAATAGAACTATTTGCCGTGCTCCCTTGCGTGCTCTGGTTTGCGGTGTGGGGAGCCCAGACAGCCGCCGTGGTGCCCTGATCAGCAGCTGGCCTCCCCAGATCACATGTGGGACTGACGGGGACTGAGGTCATTTCTGCCCGAGCTCTGAATCCTGACCTATTCAGCCACAGGGATTACCATGTTAAGAGCCAGGCACTTGGCTTTGCTGCCCAGAGAATGCCGCCCGCCTCTCTCTGGGCAGTGCAAGATTCTGCCTTGTACCTTCAGGAGCCTTCTCTATCTGGCCTCGCACTTGGGCGAGGTGTGGGCTTTTCTCAAGTTATTATCCATCTGCAGCTGACAGGTCGTGACAGAAAACAAACACTTACGACCTTTCACTGTCTGGTCTGAATTTATGGTGAAGAGATAGTATCACCATTGGCACCTTTGTGTGTGTCCTAATAAAGGAGACCAGAGGCTCAGGAGGGAAGGAAAACGTGTGCTTGCTCCCCTGGATAACAGGCTTCACATCTAGCTTCCTTGTCACATCTCCCCAAGGTGCTAGGCACTCTTTTTTGTTTGTTTGTTTTTGGCCACACCTCGCAGTGTGTGGGATCTTAGTTCCCAGACCAGGGATTGAACCTGCACCCCCTGCATTGGAAGGCAGTCTTAACCACTGGACCACTGGGGAAGTCCCTGTGCTAAGCACTCTGATAGCCATCTTCTGACCCACCCAAAAAAGA